GGAGATTGAGGCTTTGTTGTTTTGATTTTCTAAATGTTTTGAGGAGCAGTTAAAAGTTCCTTCTATCAATCACTATTTATGTCTCTTTTCCATCATGAAAAAAGTGCGTTTTATATTTTCTTGCAGGAGAAAAATGTTTAGGTGACCAACCAAAACAGATAATGAATCTGAGATACCATCTGACTTTGATTTGTTTGTGAAGAACTTTCTGGGCTCTGAGGGACTTTGAATTTTGAAGAAAACAACAAGCAACACATCTCTAGTTCCTCATTGCTACCTCTTTTGGAGACCTGGGGCTGATTTCAGATTATGTGTGTACAGTTCATCCAGGGACATACAGTAGTTCTGAAGAATAAGGTGACAAGTAAAAGACTAATTTAAATTAATGTGTGCTTGATGTGAGGGACACAGTCCTGACTGAAATAAAATAGTCTTCTTAGATCTAAGTAAGGTAATCTCAGCTTGTGCTCTGGTCTTCCACTGTCTAAGACAGCATAGCACAAACAAGGATATTTGTCAAATTAGATGCAACATGTGGCCTAAAATTCAAAACCTTCAAAGATAAAAACAGAAATAGAATTCAGAGTTTCAAAAGATAACTCTTTAGGTTTTTTTCAGTGGTGGCATACATGACAAAGAGAACTCCTAGAGTTCATTCTCAGATAGTCTAGTTTTGTAATGGGTAAAGGGGGAAAATGGGTGAGGGAGATCTGTCAAAAGAGAAGTTGCTTTTCCTTAAAATTATGCATATTATGTAAATTTGCAGTTTTATTTCTATAATTTCAGGAGTCCTTAGGACTGTACCAAAGTAGAGACCAAAAAGGATGAGACATTACAGCAGAAGAAGGGATAAATGATACATAACTTTGTACTGAGGTTTTCTGAAGGCCTGACTTCCTTCAGTAAGTTGGAAGGTGTACTTTGTTTTTTTCACTACCTACTTTTATCATTAATTCCTGCAATCAGTGGTAAGGTGTGATAGCAGTTAGCTCTGCTGTGATCATGGGATACTCAAAATTTTCAGTGTTGGTGTTAGTGCTGCTGGGAGCATGCTTTTAATGTGTGCCTTAGGCCCGTGGCAGTCATCTTATTCTTGTACAGCACTTGTACATGTTGTACATGTTGAGGATTGTATTGAGAAGTTTGTTGTGGATGTCTGCCTGATGAATACATCTCTAAAGTCACTGGAACAGTGGCTGGAGTAGACTACAAAAAGCACAGAGCAGGGATTGCTAGTTGGAATATCTTCAGTAGATACAGAGAGTTTGGTAGAATTTCTTGATGTATGACAGGTTATATACAATTGTATACAGCAGTTGTGATTTAGTTTGTGGTGAAAGGTATTGTTGCCATGACAATATAATATGAAATGATATAACTGAGTGTAGACAGCACAAGACTAATCAGAGGTTTTTAAGTGTACTTTTAGAAAGGCCAGGGGGAGATTACATACTCTTCTGAACGTGCGTGGTTCTTTTCCCAAAAAATGAGGAAAACCATTTCTGTATCTCTTGTTTAAAATAGCTAATCACATTAGCTGACTTTGATGCTGCCTTTGTTAGAGAATGTTGTGCTTAAGGTACTGATTTTGAATAACATAGCATTGTTGCATCTTTTGGATCCTTCTAGAGACTAAGAAGTCTAAGGATATTTTTTACTCTTTTAGTGCTCTGTTAAGGCTTTCATTGGGAATGATCCCATAATTTTGAACACTCTTGAAAAGCAGCAGATTGCCAAGGCTGTCAGTGGGAATTAGGATAGCATTTAATCTTTCTAATAATGAAAATGTGGCAGATAGATACAAGTTTCACCAAGTGTTCGCGCATTGTTCTGTCTTTGTCTTTCTGGATCACGTTCACTTATTTGGATTACTATCTTAATGATTGCCATACCTTATGTTGAGCTTGTCAGCAATGAGTGGTGCCTTTCAGAGGCCAGCTTTGTTTCAGCATATGGAAGAGGTGCCCATAGGCAATGGTGAAGGTGCATATGGGAACATTGTAACCCAGTAAATCTGATAAAACCAACATTCCTTCGCAGAGGTGTTCAAGGCTGGGTAACTTCTCTTTGTCAGCCATGGTATTTGAACCTTCTCTTGAACCATGTCATGATATTGCCTCTATTCAAATTGGTTCTTGTAGCATTTTCAAATGAGAGGAGGGAGGAGGTGTGGAATGTTGACTGTAAGTGAGGGATTTTTTAATTTCTAAAAACAATTTGTCTTCAGTTTGATTGAGGAGCTCTGTAATTAGTGTTACATATTATGATTTATATCCACGTGAATCTGCAAGAGGAATCATTGAAAAAGTGTATGCCAAGGGGAACAGCAAAGAAATAAATGTAGTAAATACCCCCTCTTTGTTTACAGAAGATGGCCTGTATATGCTGCACTGTAATTTACTGTGTCTGTATATGTTTAATAAGCTCAACTCACGTTGTACCACCATATGCAAAAATGATTGATAATACTTCAAATAATGAGATATAGTAGTCCACCTGTTGTGCCAGTGCTGCCTTGTTTCTTCAGCTATCTTCTGGGTGTTTCTTTTACAAATACTGAAAGCTAAAGAACTCAAATAATATAAATGGTTTAGATTTCCTATCATCTTCTAGCCTTGTGAAGTAGAACCTTGAGATGTGTGGTACATCCATTTCTGCTAACTAATGAATTGTATAATTTTTCAAGATAATGGGAAACATTCAGCAGTATATGATTTTCTAGAGAAGGTAAACATCAATTAACTGTAATTCACAATATGTTTAAAACAATTATTCTTTATCATTTAAGTTAATAATGTGCACATCAGCCCTTGGTGTAATCAAAATCAATACTGCAGTTTGGGAGATGTGGTCCCTGGACAGCTTTGTCAAACTATAGATTTCATTGTCATTTGTATAAGGTATGGAACAAATTATGTGCTTCCCTAATATCATTTATGTAGCCCCACTAATGTAGCTACTGTAGCTACTTAGTTTATGGTTTCTAATAATGCATGAAAAATAATACAGAGTTATTGAAGACATTGAGAAATACAGTTGCCTAGTATGCTAGATGTAATTGTGGAAGGCCAATGCCAACATTCAAGATTTACAGTTTACTGCCCAAAGAAAACTCTGGAGCGAAGAGCAACCCAAGAGGTACTATGCAACTCAATTGTTCATTTACATCAGACAAAGTTCCCCTGGGTCCAGGAAGCAGCAATTTGTTGTTCAGCTTTCTACTTACAGGAAAATAATGTGTACACTTGTACTCTGCCAAAGGCAAAGGTTACTCCCTTCATCTACTGGAGAAAATAAAAATATAAAGGCAGGATATCATGTCTCTGTTTTGGACAGCGTTTATAGCAGTTGCCATTACTGACATAATTTGAGCTATGAGTTAAATAATTTAGTTCACAATGTGATTTCTTCCCTTTATTGTCTCTTTATTGAAAGAGGTGTCCCCACCATGCCCCTCATGTTTTCATTAGTGTTCTTTCCATCATAGCTGTTCCTTAGGTCTACCTTGCTACCCCTCCTTAACCTTCTAGAAAATTTCAGGATTGCCCTGAAACGCTGAAGATACCAATTCTGCCACCTTTTTCTTTCTCCCACTTCAGAGCACTCCTTTTTCAGACAGCCAAGCTGCTCTTAAGCATCAGATTCAGGTGTCTGCTTTTCTTCTTATCCTTTTTGTCGTAGTTTAGTCAGGGACATGTGAGGGCAGAGCCTGGGACCACCTCTAGGCTGTTATTCTGTACACTCAAATCATCACTGATCAGGGAGTCTCACTTCCCAGATGAAGAGGTCATGGCTTCGGGTAGGGAAGATGGGGGCAGTGCACTTCCTTTCTGGGGGAGTGTGTGGTGAGAGGAATGGTGGGATGGTGCTGGTCCCAACTGGAGAACTTGTCTAACATTGTAGTTTTTTGCATTGTCTTGGTCTTGGGGAGAAAAAGTGTAGGTGTGGAAAGTTTGTGTGCTGTTATTTTTTATTGTCTCAGGCTTGTGGGAAAAAACGTGGTGGAAGGAGAGGTTAGGTGGCACTATCTGTGGAGGTGGTGTGTCAGACTCAGTGAGCGTTTTGCACGTAATCACCCTCTCTTCTACACTGTTACTGTTTGCTTTCTTATCTCAATACTGTTTCCTATAAGTTGTTATGTCATCCCATAATTACTGCCTTTAGTTTCTCTCACCTGAAAGAGAGGCTGGGGAAGAGGAGAGCAGCTTATTTCTTGGTGGGCTTAAACCATGACACCTTTCCAAAATCAAACCATAAAAGGGTTAGTGTCAGTTTCATGTTCTACCCCTAAACTTGCAGTTGTAATCATTTTTCTTGCACTTTCCTTAATATCTAAGCTTGTGTGCAGTCTTTTGCTGTAATCTGTCTATTTAATATTTAAGGACACAAACACACACACACACTTGATTTTCTTTAAAGGAAAAAACATAGACCTCCATTTCCATTATCCTGCTTGCACACAATTATCTACATAATGCATTTTTCAAAACAGCAGCTTCATACTTTCTCTTTTGGTGGTTTTCATGCTGAGGGCCCTCCTTGTAAACATACCCAAAACTACTTTTTTGTGCTTTAATATATAATAAAATATCAACCATGTTTGCCTTTCTGCTGTGCTGAGACTACACCCCATCATTCCAGCCCATACCATCTCATTCTTTAATTATACTTGCCCACTTTGCCATCTGTTAGGCTTTTATATGAGGCTGTCTTTAAGATTCTTTGATTCTGGGGAGAGAATTTGTTCAGTGTGAAACATAATACAGAACAATAGTCTTTGGATAATTTTTGTAGTTGCTAAGTTTTTACAAATAATGCAGAATAATTATCTGTATATCAAAACACTCCCATTATGTTATCTTTAAAGTCGATGGAGAATTGGTACCATTGAAGTAAAGTTCTCTTAGCTGTCTCTCAAGGGTGCTTGGCAATTTTTAGGAACATGCTGTGTTTCATCAGAAATTTAGTTCATGAAATTTGTTCACAATTTTCTCTTACAGGTAAAAGTGACCCGTTTTGTGTAGTTGAATTGAACAATGACAGACTGCTGACACATACAGTCTACAAGAACCTCAATCCAGAATGGAACAAAATCTTCACATTGTAGGTGTTTGGATTTAGGTGGGGGGAATGGATGGGCAGTGGTTTTGGGTAGTTTTTTAGAGGTGAGGGTGTTGCAGAGCAAGTAAAAATGCTTACTGGTAGTTCTAAAGAAGAATGGTGATGACATACTGATAACTGCCTAACTAAACTCCAGTACGTTTTGAGGATTGAAGATATAAAAAATTAGAGAATTTATATAATTTTGAATGTAAAAATGTCAGGTCTGTTTCGTGGAAATCAGGTATGAGTGATGCTGTGCACACCAGACTCCTGTTAGGTCAAGCAAGCGTTTCAAGGGTCAAATCCAGCCCCTGAAGTTTTGAGTAGGGGAAAAAAAGGGAACTGTGAATATAACCTTCATTAAAATGTAGTTGTTAACTGTAAAAAAAAAAATTAGATAACTACATAAAGTTAGAAATTTTACATGCATTTATATTTCTCTGAATTATGATGGAATACTTTCCGCTTCTTGTTTCCATTTACCAGCTGCAATTCTGACAATACCATCTAGTGTAATACTTGTACAATCCAGCTATAGGGTAAAATGCACTCTAAAACAATTTAATGGGAAGTGATGTGATTGGTTCTTTTATCCTTGTCTTATTTTGAATGCTGTTAAAGGCTGTGAGAAAATAGAAAAACAGTCTTCCAGAGACAAAATGTCCTTGTTGTTTGCCTTGCTCAGTCGCCTTTTTTTCCTCCCTTCTCTCTATCTTACTGTAATGTGACACCAATGAGGAGAAAAAACTGATCATTGCAGGTCTCACTACTGTGGAAATCAGTAACAATCCTCTGCAAAAACAGCAGAAGCTTTAGTTTTGTGTACACTTACTTCACTTTATCATACATGAAAATGCTGTATTTTACCCTTAATCTCAAAACTCAGTGTGATTTTAATTTTTGTTTTCCCCTCTAGATTTGTCATTCATACATGTAGCATCTACAGGTTTTCTCAACCTGCAGTGAGCTCTCAGAAATTAATTCAGAATGAAAGAAAAAAAATCTTACAGTTGTACTTTTCAATGGCTTATTACAGTAGTTCTCATTTCTGTATCTGCAAAACCATGCTTAATTGTTCATTGATATATTTTTAATTATTTACCAATGGAGCCAACAACTAATCATCCTGTACTTCTCAACAGTGTTCTCTGAACAAGGAATTGCCTGGACTTGTAGAGGACAAAAGCCTAATCAGAAATCAAATAGAAAACCTCTAAAGGCTTTCCAGGCCTTGCTTCTATGTACATTTGCATTTATCCTTGGACTTCTTAATTAATTTTTGGGCTAGCAATCCCTCATCTGAAGGAGTATATTTTGTTGAAGTTCAGCTGCTTTGTTTGAATTTGTATTTCCTGGAACAGCCATTCAGTCAAACATGAGTTCTGTTAAATAATTTTTTTTTTATTCAAATAAGGAATATGAATTTTTCACCCAAAAGTTTACAATGTACAGTGACATTTCCTGTGCACGGCAATGGGGTGTTTAATAGCTTGTAGTCTTTTTTCCTCAGTTGTACCTGAGAGATGCATTGTTCCATATTGTTTGTTCTTTATTTGATGTAATTTGTTGTATATTTGTAATTAACTGAGGATTTCAGAAACAAAGAACTTGTTCTTAGTGCAAGGATATGCTCTTGTAGCTTGTAATTATTTCCAGTTCGTAACCTACAGGTTTCACTGTATTTGCAGAAAGAATTGCCACAAGGGTAGCAGTGTTTAAGAGTAGCTTTTAAAAGCTCTCTGTCCTTCTGCTGGTGGCTGTACCCAGTGTAGAGCACCCAGTGCTGCTCCTTGCAGGTCATGCAGTGCAAAGCCCCGGTTTAAAGCAACATCCTTCAGAAAACTTCTGCTGGAAAAACTTTGCAGAGAGAGGAGTGATATCTGCAGCCCTTAGAAAGTATTTTTGTTATAAAGACCCTTGCAGAGAGAAAAAGAGAGAGTAACCATTGCCGCCCTTAGAAAGCATTTTGGTTATATTCAGAGATGTCTCATTTACTTGAGCTCAGTTCTCCTCCATGGCTTGAAAAAAACAGATGGATATCTGTGCTAACCTTTGACAGTTTTGTCCTTGGTACCCGTTGGTGTGACTTCTTTCTTCTGTGTGTACTTCTCTCTTTGTAGCAATATAAAGGACATCCACTCAGTGCTTGAAGTGACAGTTTACGACGAGGACCGCGATCGAAGTGCTGACTTTCTAGGCAAAGTTGCTATACCATTGCTGTCTGTAAGCCTCATTCACCTGACATACTGCTCTGAATTTTTTCTGAAAATGAAAGGGGGGAAAGAGGGAAAAAAAAAATAAAAAAATTTGCAGCTCTGAGTCTGTCATTTCTCAACCAAGGTCTGTAATAACACTAAAATTTTAACATACTCTATTCACGGCCATGTTGAATCCCATGATAGTTAATTTTTCCTGACAGACTCGGTCCTGGTAATGAACAGGTACTTGTCAGACTTGCCACAGTTGTTTTGGGTTCTCTGTCAGTTTCAGCAGCTGGGGGTCAGGGGTCACCGGGGGGGTGTATTCAGCGGAGACCGCAAGACAGACGGCTGTCATGTCCTTTTCCTGCAGATTCAAAATGGTGAACAGAAAGCCTACGTCTTGAAAAACAAGCAGCTGACAGGGCCAACAAAGGGGGTCATCTATCTTGAAATAGATGTGATTTTTAATGCTGTAAGTCTTAACTTTAGGTTTTTTTGTACTGCTAAAGAGTTCAGTTTCATGAAAGCTTTTGTTCCTGATTTGTAGAGAATTTCTGTCATTCCTCATTTTCTCTAAGCCTTGATGTATACTACAGAATACTCTTCTGCCACTGCTTGGCACACCCACTCTTTTTGTTGCTGCTGCTGCTATTGCTGCTAATGTACTGAACAGCAGCTCTTGTCTCTGTGTATGCTTATGTGTCCCGAGCTTGGCAGCCATGACTTTGAAACTTGGTAAATTTTGCGAATTGAAGCCTGTGTTATTAGTGAGGAGCAAGTAAACTTGAAATACTGACACGCGTTTTAATGCATAGGTGAAAGCCAGCATACGAACCTTAATGCCCAAAGAACAGAAGTACATTGAAGAGGAAGACAGACTGTCTAAACAGGTAAAGAGTAAGGAAACACTAATCCTTTCTAAAATCCTTAATATCAAGTGTGCACATTCAAATATCTGGTGTCATACTGCTGAGAGTAAAGAATAACATTTTCATTATATGTTTACAGAGAATATGATAGGTTGAAAAGTCAGAAACAAAATACATGGGTTTAATGTGTCTCCTCTATAAATTGCTGCCTAATTTCCATGAAATACATGAATAAGAGCACAGTTGAAACCATCAGGTTTCACACGTATCAGATTATTGCACAGGTGCATGTAAAATAAGTCTTGCATAAATTTTTGCTGTTAACTTCGACACAAAAGTTCTCCATTTGTTTCAGGGTAGAGAGCCAGCATTCTTTTAGCCAAATTTCAAAGAAGTTACTTGAGTAAGGCTTGAATCAAAGGTGAAAGCAGACTAAAACTCTTTGGAATCCTAGGAATACAACTCGACTCTTTTTTCTCTGTATATTTTTGCTGCACACAGTTTCAATGTTTTGGTAAAAAATTATTTAAACGCACATATTTTTCTGCACTCAAACTACTTTGGACTCAGTTTTTCGTGTCCCACAAATGTTGTATCTTACATGAAGAAAACTTGTTGGACTATGGGAACAAGATTTTTGTTGTTTTCAGAGAAAAGTCAAAGATCTCAGAAATGTTTTCTTTGTTTCTGAAAGCTTGTAGACTCAAGTATGGTTTGAATTACCTGCTGGATGAATTTTATATCAGTTTATGGTATAGTTCATAAAAAAAATTCAAGAGGCAAAATATTTCTTTATTTTCAATTTTAAGTAATGCAGTTACTAAAGCTGCATTTTGCACTACTATTCCAGCTAAGAAGCAAAAAAGCCTTTTACTCAAGATTCATTCTTCTTCCCACTTTCATAAATGAAAGTGGCATTGTGACTTTTGGAGATGGCAGGAGAAGTGACCATTTGCTATGCGACTCAGTACACAAATCATTCACTGATTTGTTCACTTTTTGTGGTGAAGTGTTTTGCCATTTTAGAAGATTAAAGTGCATTTTCCTGAATCAAAATGTAGAGTTTTTATGTCTTACATTTATGTACTTTGAAAGTATGTAGATTACTTTGGTAAATACTTAAAACAATGCTTTCAAAATATATCACAGCAGAAAAATTTGTAAAAAATATTAAATGGTGCAGATATCTTAATTATATTAGACCAGTAGAGTTGCATGGTTTCAGATTAGCGTCTTGCAGCATCTTTTTTATTAAAAAAGTCCAACATTTGTTAAGAAAGGCCTAATGAAACTGAAATCTAATTAACAAAATAATTTGTGAAATTTTGTAAGTGGCTTTTTAATGTTGAACAATTTTTGTACCATCTAGAATTAAATTCAACAAATACCAATTGATACAATTAGCAAATTCTCTCTCTTCCAAGTCACAGATTTTAAACTAACTTGCTCAATTTGTGAGCTAGAGAGCTTAGTATTTTCTAAGCCTTCACCCAAATTGAGAATGGCAGTATTGTTAGCATGAGCTTCTCCAGAAACTTTTTGAGGTTTTGAAATATTTTCAATCTTTCATCCTTTTAACAGCTACTGTTAAGGAACTTCATCCGGATGAAGCATTGTGTCATGGCGGTCGTTACTGCTGTCTGCTATATTAGCAGTTGTTTTGACTGGGATTCTCCACCAAGAAGTCTAGCTGCTTTTTTGGTATGGTCTTTGTATTATTTTTAATCATCCCAATGTGTTTATGTTCTAGACTGAGAGACAATACTGTGTAGATTGGTGGGTTTTTTTTAATTTACTTAAAAATTTGCATTATGATGATACCATAAGTCACGTTTATTTGGTTCTAAAAAAAAGTAATTGAGTTTAAAATGTCACACAAGTAAGAGTGTTCTTTTAAACATTATAATTGTATATTTATAGTTAAAATGTAATAGATTATGTAAGCAAGATTGGATTACAAGCAGGTAATCCAAATCAAACCAGAGTCAGTGAACTATGGATAATATATTTTAAGCTTCTCCCTTAATGAAATAATATGATATATAAATGAAATAGCATATAGATAATGCAAAAATTATTTCCATTAAATTTGGTTTGGTTCCCTTGCATATTGAATACTGACTCTTAAAGTATTTTTGATTATTAATTATTCACAGGTGGTGTTACTAGATTAAAAACATCTACAAAAATAAAACAAACCCAACCTTAAAACCATAAATGCAGAAAAACTAGTACCTTTTAGGCAGCAAGCTCTGGTCATAGTTTTTAGTGAATGGTTTCAGTGAATTTTTTCTTACCTATTTAAACAAGATGGCCTCTTTCTTCATGAACATGATCTTCATTTATTTTTATGTTAAATTTTAAAAATTCCAAGCACAATTGTAAGATTGCATTGTGTTACCCAGATAAGTACCTTTTTATTTTTAAAACCATAAGTTCTACAAACAAGACCATTATTTTTTCATATGAGAGTAGAAATGTATGCGTGGACATACTTTCTGGAATTTATACGTTTATTAAATTGGCTGAAATACTCAGATTTGGAGCCTCTCCACCACGATTATGAACAGGGAAGTTGTGGTATAACTTTGAATTCACGCATTGTCTGGTGACAGTACTTTTTACTTGGGTGCTTGAGGGTCAGGTGCCTCAAATTTGGAGAAATCAAACCAGACATTGGAGATGCCTGTGCAGTAAAATGGCGTAGTTGGGTGTGTCACTAAGTCATGCTGTTTTGCAGAAAGTTTCTTCTAACATAGCCCCATTTGAACTGTGTTGCTTGTTAAACCCTCCTGTGCCTGTCAAGGATGGCAGAATGCTGTTGGTCCTTGATTGCCATGTTCATTGGGAATGCAGGAGGTACATATGCTATTCAGAGAGCCAGGGGGTTGTACTTTTACTGATGCCTGTAGTAATGGCACTCTGTGCAAAGATTGAATATGCTTGCTACTGTTTTGCTGTGGGAAGGCAATCTATCATTCCAGTTAAAAGTTATCAACACTTCAAAGGAAAATGCAGGTTTCAACATAAAACACAAATGTTCATATTGCTATTACTGCTTCAGTTAGTAAGTATTCATCACTCTAAGTCAGATTTTAATAAGGATATGGAACACTCAACTGTTGCCAGTGGAAGAAAGGAAAATGGAAAGACATCCTATTCGTTGGGCAGATTAATATTTTTTTGCCCACAGCACACTGCTGTGGCCGTGGAAGAAGTGGTTTTGCTGTTAAACTGTAATTGTTTCTGGTCATAGAAAAAAATCAGTATCATAATAAGTAGTAGTAGTAGTGGTACGTAAAACAGAATTTGAGTAGGGAGGTCAATAATCAGTATATGTTATTATTATAGTTACAGTGCATATTGCAGTAGAAATATGTTTCTGATTATATTTTATAGATATATTCATACTTTTCATTCCTATCTATATAGAGAGACATATTTCAAAAGTCTGATTTTCTTGGTTTTCTTACAGCATTTGTTTTGCTGTGTAAGTGTTGCAGTAGATTTTTATGTTTACATCAGTGCTGTGATTGTAGATATTTATTCCTGTTCTGCATCCAAAATGCATCCAAAATGCATCCTCTGCTTTTCTGCCTGTTGGTATTCTCTGCAAGTATCAAGTCATTCCTCTGTCAGGCAAAAGAAGTTTTTGCTGGCCAAGTCAAATATTTGTGAATTTTTATCATGATTATAAGCTTTGGGTTTAGATGTTTTCTGGACTTTCATAGGCTGTTGACATCTTGAGAGCGATCCACTTGTTTGTGTTATGGTGAATTATACTTGCACTAAGGCTACATTTGAATTTAATACAGTGTACAAAATAAATGTACATATATGTTACATTTTCTGTTCACTGTTATACAAATTACATATCCTCTTGAAGTTGTTTTCTAGAGGCTAGGAAATGTCACAGTGAAACGTCAGTTCCAGAAAGGAGATGAGAAGCAGTCTGTTCTGGAGGTCTTCAGCTCTTTAGGCAGACTAATAAACAGCATATGAGAAGTAGAGTTTTAAATTAACCATTTCTTCTATCCGGTTGGATTTGAAAATACACTGCAATGGGTGCATCCTGATACACAGTTAGAGTTATTTCACCTAAATTGCATATGTAAGGGTAGATTTTTTGTATCTCCCAATGCCCCACATTTTCGGCATTACAATTATGGATACTTTTTTACCATGGGGCTTTTCCTTCTGATAGGGATATGCAGGACCACAGGTGAAGAACTTCTGGCAGAATAGCTCAGTTTTCAAAAATGTAATTACTAAGATAGATCAGGAAAGGAGAACTACCCTTGAAAACCTACTGAAAACCTTGATTAATATGGTAACTATAATAAGTTACAGTTACCTGCTTTATATGCCTTGTGCACTCTTCACTGTGGTTCTTATTAAAATCATTTGCCTTTGTTAGTCACCAAGGTTAACAGTGTTCATTGATGGGGCTTGCTGATTATTTTTACTCCTTAGCTTAGCTGTCTCAAACTTTTACATTATTTGGAACATTTTAGGCATGGAAATGCTGTATTAAGTTTTAGGATGATTCTTTCTAAAATCTGTCTGAAGCCATCATCTCAATGACCAGTGTTGCTTGTGCTGTTCATAGAGATACAGAAACTTCAAATTAAGTTTTCAAGGTTCTAGATTATGCATTTCCTCAACTAAACAATATTTTACTTGTTTCTATTAAACTTCATAAGCTCATCATCTTCACTGGGGATTTTGTCTGAATAACTGAGAGTTTTCACTCCCACTTATTTTTTGTACGCTTTGGTAGTTCACAGCGGAAGAAAAATTCCTACCAATATAGATATGTATTTTCATGCTGATACAACTGTGATGTATCAATAGCTGTTATTTTTCAGATACCTAAAAATACTTAAAGATAATAAAGATAATAAGTAGCTCACGAACCATTGATCTGCCTAGCATATAACTTTGTCATAGAGCAATTAGAAAATTCTATATTCTCTCCTGCTTTTTTTGTATTTCCTGTTAAATACAGGAAGTACATAACAACAATATTAAGTTAATATTCCAATTCCAGAACAGCTTTATTATATCACATGTCTAGAGGCTGATCAAGAATGTGTTATGTACTTATGTTTATGCTTCCTAAGGCCTAAATACAATGGGGAAAAATGGAATATGTAGAGAACATCTGCCATAAAATCACTTATTTTTTTCTGTTTAAAACAGACCTTTGCAATATTTAGCAGTTAATTTTTTTTATTATTATTTGGTAATTAATATGGTACATTTCAGGAGAAAGAACTTTAGTAGAGTATGCAAAAGTGGATGTTTTTTCCTCAGATTAATCCACTGTGGGCACTGAAATGTCTGCTAAGTTTAGCCTAATTTCCATCAGCTTCTTGACCAGACATTTGTGTTCTTTTAGATGTCAGTGGGTGCAACATGAGGCAAAAAAGGTGTGTATTCTTTTTTTCCAGTACTAGCATTTCTCATTGTAATGAGCTGAAAAATAATTGGACAATGGGGCTATCAGTGAAAGGACACTCTTCAGTGTGAGTCAATGAATTATTTTATAGTACAAACTTTAATCTTGAAATGTGATTGTAGATAATTTGTGCTACCATCTGTCCATTTGGAATCCTTTTAACCATTTCAGTCATTATACAGTAAGTACTGCTGTGTTTAACATTAACATTTGATACACATTTAATTTCTGTACTGCTCTGTGGTCCTTAGGGAGCTTTGCTCTAGTGCTACATGAGAAAGACAAAGTATTGATCAGTTAACATTTCAGCTATGTATGTTGCAAAATTAATGAAAATGCCAGACAAAAATGTCAGAGTGCACAAAAAGGTAAAATTTAAATTTGGTAGTTTAATGAAAAGTTTAAGATGAGCATTATCAAAAATATCCCCTTGCCTTTAAAGTACTTTTTATAACTGAGTAACTAAAGAGAACCGCGTATTTTACTTAGAGGAACACTAAATATGAAGTATGAGAGAACATATAATCTTACATATATATAAACACTTACATATAAAGTGTTTGGTATCCCATAATGTCCTTGGTAAGGTACTTAATTGTCTACTTGAACATTTAACTGTTACTCATAAAATTAACATTTCATTTCTCAGTAGGAGGCAGAGTGCCCTCACCTGATGAACATACATGCTAGCCTCAAATAAAATTAGCTTCTCATGAACACTTCTCCTATTCCTGTTCCTATTCCTTTCATTCATTCTATTGTGTGTACATGCATACACAGAGAAAACATTTTTTTTTCTTTCCCAGCCTCTCAAATATTGATGAAATGACTCTCCCTGCATCCAAATCATTTGTCAGGCCTAACTCACCTTCACTTTGTCTTCTAACGTTACAGAATTCATGTGTGAAAATGACATAATAGTGTCCCTAGCTTTTGATTTAGTGTTAGTTCTCTTGCCATTTAGTTCTGTAGGTGTCACATTAATTAATTGAAAAGGAAACAGGATTTAAAAGGACTAGTTCCTAGAAGGAAATGAGACAGCAGAACAATTTTGTCAATTTACCGAGCTTTTCCCTAATAAAAAGGGAAACAATATTGTGTATTTTGGAAACAATGTTTACGCAAAAATGAAGACAAAAAAAGATTATGTTTCCGGAGAGGCTTGGTATGATACCATCAGGAGTTAGGATGCCTGTGTTGTAATTATTACATATTTTACTTATTTTTTCACACTGTAATTTTAAGAGAATCAGAATTTTTCACA